CACAAGTGCAGTCGTGTTCCTTGAAGTGCTCGAAGCTCTGACGCGTACAGTTAGAGCAGGCGCCTGAACAGTCGAAGCGGCGGGGGTAATTTGCGAGCTCTCTTGCAGCCTCTGGCCCGATTACCATCGTGCTGAGTCCCTTGGGCTCCGGGTTGACTTTGGTCCACGTTCCGCCGAGCACCGAACCGTTGTCGATGGGGAGCGACCCGTTGGTGGGGAGCGACCCGTTGGTGGGGAGCGACACGGTGGTGGGGAGCGACCCGTTGGTGGGGAGCGACACGGTGGTGGGGAGCGACCCGTTGGTGGGGAGCGACCCGTTGATGGGGTGCGGCAGGTTGGCGGGGTGCGGCAGGTTGGCGGGGAGTGTCACGCCGGAATGGAACCTTTTCTCGAGTGCAACCAAAATCTGGTGACCAGCGCGGTCGAGTTCGGTTGCAGTTGGGTCGCAGTGGGCGCGGCAGCTCATGACGCCCCGGGTACGGGTGAGCTCATTCCAGACGACGCGCATGGGAAAACCGACGTCCAGTCCGAAACGGTAGCACCCTTCGGCTGGGAACTTGCCACTGGCAGATCTCTTCTGAAGCGTGCAGAGAAGTCCGCCGCTACCGCCGTGACAGACGTCCTTAATGACCTTACGTGTCGACGTCTTGCCGCCTACGATTACCGCGCCCGAAGTGCAATCGGACGGCGGTCGCTCAAGTTGTAGTAGGTCCGACTTCTTTAGCGAGTTCGTAGGAACTAACTCGTTCGACTGTTTCCACACCATGGGCCCGTGCTTGGCAGGCTCGGATTCTTCGACTTCCGTCGGAACCATCAAGGATGACACTTGCTCCTCGCCTCTGGTGAAGTAGTGCCAAAGGAGACCTCCTCCCACGAGACTCGCGCCTGTGGCATACACGCCTCTTCGAACCCATGGCCGTGACCACAGGTCTCGAACCCACCTCTGCAATGCATGTCTCGGTTCCGGACCTAACTCCAGCCAACCAGTTTCCTCCAACCGCGACCGCAACGTCGACCCATAGGCTTCCGCTTCAGACATCGGCTCCGGTCCTAACAATGACCTGGGCAGCAATGACGCCGCTTCGTCGCGCCAACTCTCCGGCAGCCGAGGCGCCAACACGGCCCACTCCCCTTCCACCAACTTACGACAAGAACAGACCTCCAGTTTGTCGTCATCATAGTGCTCGTTCTCCACGTCTGCGCACGCCCACTGCTCCGGGTCAGGCTGCGGATCTCCAAACATGTCTTCCCATATTCTCTCCGCCTTCTCTGAGCTCTCCCAGTCCGGCACAGTCACCGCTCGGAACATCTTCTTCACGCCCGCTGCCAATGCAGCCTCCGTGTCCGGGGCAAGCTTGCCCTTGTGAAGGAACGTTCGGAACCGTACGCAATCTCGCAGCACGTCGAAATGTTTTTTTTTACCGTCAGCATCAACCGGTTCCGTTTCCAGCCGCTGGTAGCTTTTGCGTTCGTTAACGACGCTGCACTCGGGCGGCGACTGTGGCGCACTCCTGATTCCCCAGAAGTTCGAGGTCTTCGGCTTCTCCCCCAGTACTTTCAACCGTGCCTTAGGTACAACTGCGACGAGAGCAACCTGGTCCACCAGCACACCATTACGACGCACACCTACCCCTATCATTCGTACACACATTTGGTGCGTTATCTCCGGCTCACTCCCATCCGAGTTCACCACGCAGGCCAACAACTGCTCTGCCAACCTCAGACTTCGTGATTGTGGCACTCTGAACGCTGACCTCATTCTCCCGCAAACTTTTTCCGGAATTTTTTTTGGGGCGGAAACAATACGGAACAACTAAGAATAGAGGCCTTCCTTCACGACCGCAACGACATGACTAAATCCAAACGCTCTGCTGTGCTGGGCAGGGCCACGCCAAACAGCGAATTCAGACTTCGACGGCTGAAAGGGGAATTCAGACTTCAACGGCTGAAAGGGGAATTTGGTTGCGTGAAAAGGGAAAGTTGTGGAGAATTGAAAAGTTAGTCTTTGTGGTGGTTGTGTGCTATGTCGTCTTCCGGTGTATCGTAGCACGCGTGCAAGCAGTACTTGACGAGTTTGTGTTTCTCGCCGAGCTCCGGTATCTGGCGTAAAAGTTCCTCCATTTTTACATCCACACCGGCCGCGCGCGAAACAGTTTGTATTTCTTCTTCATGGAGATAGGTGATGCCGCGTTCGTAGCTTTGACAGGCGATGTAGCCGAAGGCACAAGTGCAGTCGTGTTCCTTGAAGTGCTCGAAGCTCTGACGCGTACAGTTAGAGCAGGCGCCTGAACA